ACGTGATAAATTGCTGAGTTGATTCAAGTATAACGGATACCTGTAGGACTTAGAGAAAATCCTAAGGTCGGAAACTCCAACGTGTAGAATCAACTGCCGCAGCCTTTCAACTTAGACGTTAAGATAAACGAAAACAAACCCGGTGACAACATCCAATAAATTGAGAATAATGGTGATCTACTTTGATTATTTTAACAATTTTAGTTTGATCTTTCACATATATAGTTAGTCTTAAATAATTATATGCATTTTGCTATTTGCTAATTAATTCATTAAAATTTGAAATATTAATTTTTAAAAGATCAAAAGAATAATTACTTTTATTTTATAAATGCTGAAAAAATCTTATTGTTAGTCCAGCAAGATTTAGTGTAATCCATCTTACAGCAAGAGTACTAATTAAAATAAGTATTACAAAAAAATCAACAAAAGTTTCATTATATTGAATTTCACGTATTGTGGTAATATTATATTCTATTTTATCTAGAACTTTTGTAACTAATTGAGCTATTCTGATAAATATTGTTCATTTTTCTTCTATAATTTTATTTACCATATATTGAATACAATCTATCATCTAATTTTCGATTTCATATTCTCTATTTCTTCCAAAAGGTTTTCTAATCTTAGATAATCCTTAACAAAATGTTGATATTTAAAATTCTGAATCTCTTTTTTATAGTAATTAAGTAAACTATCAAGATTATCAGAGTGAAACTTTTTTGGACAGATTCCTTGCTTTTTTATATGTGCATTAAGTTCATTGAAAGAATTATTGATCCATTTGTTGAAATTAGATACCTGGTTATATTTATGATAAATTGAATCAGACAGTTCTTCATTTGCACATAAAATTATAGCATAATCAATTTAAGCAACCAATTCTTGATATTCTCAATTTCTTTTATTAAATGTTTCATATTTTGCTAAAAAGTCACATTTATAATACTATTTTTTGAAATAATAAATAATATTCAAGGTATTTTATACTCTTAAAATAATCTCCTACATGATTCAACCCATCATATAAATTATCATTTTGAAAAATCATATATTGAACTTTAATCTTTTGATTAATAATAAAAGTACTATATTTTGCAAAAATAACATACTCAGATCTAAAAAATCCATTACAAACTATATTATAAATATGATAAAATATAAGATTATTTGTTTACACAATAATTTTGATTGTTAAATAAACAAGATAGAATATTTACCATATTTTTTTGAATCTTTAGATGCCACTTCTAAGGGTTTTTGATTTTGATTTATTTGTGATACTTCTTTATTATTATCAACCAATTCAGTTAAATCAATAAAATCATTATCTGTTACTAACACGTTATAATTATCTTTTGTTCAATCAAAAAAAAATGTCAAAAAAGTGAAATACATCCTTTTTAATCTGTTTTTCTAGGATTTTCCAATATGCATTAGAGTAATAATATGTTCTTTTAACCTAGCTCCATCATTTGAATGATGCAGTGTTATTGGTTTTTGACAACTTTGACAATAAACATGTTTATTATTATCATATAAAATATATGATTTATTTTCTAAAAATTTTCTTAATAAAGCTTGTTCTAATAAGCTTTTAAGCTTCTAAAGAGTAGCTGTTATTATGAATTTTATATTTTCATCATTTTTTCTTTTAGTTAAAATATTTTCACTCTAAGTTTCTTCTGTATAAGCAATGTTTTTTTCTTTACCTTTCTCTTGAATTAAATTACCTATTATTCCAAAATGATCAAGTATTTTTTATTCTAATGTATTTTTAGACAAGTTTAAACTATTACTATTTTTGTTAGAATTCATAATTATTACAGAAAAAAAATTAAAAAAATCATAAGGTGGTGATTATGTTTGTATAAATTCAAATCTTTGTACAACAAATATTTTTAATATATACATCAGACCTTTAAAATTGGATAAACTTATATGAGAAAGTATTAGTTTCTAAGTTTTGTATATGTAAGTTAATATTTATTGTAAATCTGTATAGCAGAAGTAAACATTTATTGACTGAAATCTGTATTCCAAATTTCAGCCAAATTTTCATAATTGTACAATAAGAATCGTTGAACTTTTTTCAAAATTTTCAAATCTGTATAACGAGGTTCTAATGATCATATTTAAGAACCCTCTAGTACTTTTCTAGTTGTGACAAAGGATAAAATTAAAAAGGCTAGAAAAATAGTTGATATTTTTAGTTTTATAGGTTTATTTAGAATTTACTATATTCGTTTATTTAAAGAAGATGATATCAACTTCATAAAAGTAAAATTACCAAACCTTAGAATACTATAAATATGCGAAACATCTTGATTATTTTATTATGTCTTTTTTATATCTTTTTATGACTTTATATCTTTATGTTATATATATAACAATATGTTATACTTCCCTTTAATATAAACTCTTAATATGTAGTTTCATAACTAATATGAGATCACTAGATAAATTTGTATATATGTAATTCTTCTCTTAAATAATCATTTTTAGTTTATATGATCTTTTTTTTCTCATAATTGATAAGTAGAAATATAATAGATAAATTTGTAACGAATAAAGAGATAACAAATCTTATTATATATCAAACTCTTATATAGAGGGTGATCAAAAGTTTCTAGACACCTTTATAAATGCAATTTAAAAAATTTTTGTCATATAATTGTGATACCATACTGCAGTCATATGACCGTTAATTATAATTAAAATAAAAAAATTTGTGTTGTTTTTGTTATTTTAATTTATATCACTTAATCTCTACCAAATCAAAAAATAATGGGACAAAATAAAGAATTAACCAAAGAATAATGCAAAGCCATATTTTACTGTCACCAATATGGTAACAGTTACTGAACTATTGCAAAGATCATTAACTATGGAAATCAACTATTTGTGATACATTAAAAAGAGCTAGCATCACAGAATCAACTGAATCAATGCCTTGCTCTAAATGACCATCCTTAATTACAATTTCTCAACGTAATCGCCTCAAACGAATCATTATAAATGATAAAACTAAAAATTATTGTCTTTGTACTACTGGAGTGCAGCAACTTTGAAAAAAAAGTCTAGACAAGATGTTTCAACCCAGACTATTAGATGAGTTCTCCATTCAGCTGGATTAAGAAACTGTATTATACGAAGAAAACCTTTAATTTCACCAACAAACATAGAGGCACGTCTCGCATGGTGTTTAGAGCACCAAAGTTAGACAAAAGAGGATTGGTCAAAGGTTATGTGAAGTGATGAATCGACCTTCTCTTAATTCCAATAAAGTTGCAATAGCAGGGTGTGGCGAGAACCAGCAGATGAGTAGGCTTTATCCTATATATCAGCCACAGTAAAGCATAGCTCAAACTGTATATATTGGGACTGTTTTTCTCAAAAGGAAAAAGGCTAATTATTGCATTATCTGGAACAGCAAATGGTGAATCTCATGTCACCATTCTTCGTAAATATGTAATACCAGCTATGAGACAAATATTTTCTAATAATGATGGCTAGTTCCAAAAAGATAATGCCCATCCGCACAAATCAAAAGTTGCAATAATTTTTCAGGCAGAAAATGGTTTTCTTACATTAACTTAACCAGCCCAAAGTTCTGACCTCAATCCAATTAAAAATTTATGAGCTGAGATTAAAAAAAATATTTGTGCATATAAAAAACCACCATCAAATCTTGCTGACCTCGACCGATATGTTAAAAGGCATGGTGAGAAATTTTGATGCATACTATTGAAAATTTAGTTGATAGCATATCACAGCGAATTCAAGCTGTGATTGCAGCAAAGGGAAGCCAAACCAAGTAATAAAAGCTTAATATAAATTATTTGCCTTAACCAACTCTAAATAAAATAATATTAGAACTTTACTATTAATGCTAAAGAATTATCAGTTTTATATTTAGTGAAAAAGTGTTCAAAAACTTTTGACCACCCTCTATATATCTAAATTTTCAAACATTTAGCTTTTTTTCAACCTGGTCAACCAATTTACAAAAAAAGTACTTTTAATTTTTAAATAGTCCCACCTAGTATTTTTAATCAATAAATTTATTTTTTATTATATAATTGAAATTAATGAATATTATATTTACTTTTATTTTCTATATGATTTATATATTATAGCTATAAATGGTTTGCATTAGCAGACAGAATAAATATTAGAAGAATAAAAAACTCTAGTTTTTTTCTGGAGTATCAGTATAATTATTATTAATAGTAACATTAATAATATTTACATTTTGAGAGAAGAATAGGAGAATAAGTATACTTAGCCTACTAAAAGCATTAAAAGTAGAGATAGAAGGTTTGAAAGTTGATGGTATTACTAGTGTTTATTTGAAATTTTTGACGACTTTTGGAGATGATGATTCTCTTGGGAAGTGCTCAGGTTGTTTTAAAGAGAAAGATGATTGTTCACCTACAGTTACTTCAGGAGTAGTAATTGTTAAAGATTCTGAAGATAAGCTTGTCCTACTTTTTCTTCTATTACTCTCATTATATTGTTAATTAAAGAATAGTTCTGGTAAGTTAATAAACAGATATGAAAAAATATCTTCTACAGAAATATATCAGGCTTTAACCAGAACAATGTTGAAAACTCTTTGTATATTTTCTTTCTAACCAAGCTCTTCTTGTCTCCGGTATTTTCTCTATATCTTTTGCCATCTAAAAAAATAGTAAGTATATTAACTTTAGATTTCACATAAAATTTAAGTAGTTCTATTTACATTAAAAGTTTTTATAAGGCTTAAGAATTTTTTATGATAATCTTTACCCAAGAAAAAGTTAGTATTCTCTTATTCGTTAAGCTTACTAGTGATATCATTTCAAAAATCTTATTTCTTTTTATTTAGGGTAATATGATATTCAAAATTTTTTTGTTGATAAGAAAATGAAGCTGAGTTTCAGATCATTTAGTAGAAGAAAACATGTTTACATTGGTGAAAGAATTCTATAAAAATTGGGCTAATTTTATAAAAATATCGAGTGATGTATTCTGATTATAGTGAATTTGATTTAATGAAAAGATTAATAGAATAATAATAATGGTGACTTGGCCATTTTTTCAAATCTACATGATATACCAATCACCTATAATTTAAAAAACCACTCAGTATCATAAAAGTGCCAAGAAAGTGTTGTGAAACTGATAGGGATTTAGGAAAGTTAGAGTTCCGGACGAGTTGAGTTAACTCACGAGTCAGATAAGCCGAGTCGAGTTCAAATCAAGTCGAGTTGGTATTTTTTTGACTCGATGATTTG